ATCAAATAATCTAGTTTCATATATCTTCTAACTTTCTTTTCTTTTGTGGCTTCTTTTTCACCATTGGCGGATTTTGACATGATCTACTATTGTGACCATAATTCCCACATCTTCCACATTTTGCGCTTTGAGTTTTCTCTCCTTTTGATGGTATTCTTTTTTCTTTAGGTCGTCCAGATTTTTTTTTGGGTTAGGAGCCAAGATTATTCTTGCTCTTACCTCATCTGGTACATTTCACTCATTATGATCTCCTAGTGGAAAAATTGATGCACTATATGTTTGAATATACATATTTGTTGTATAAAATACGGAACAATATGAATATGAATCCTCCTTTATCTTTGCAATAACCGCAAGTGCATGTGCCCATGGAATCTTGTCCACTTGGAAATAGTTGCACGTGCATGTTCTTTCTTCCATGTTAACCAAATATGAGGCACAACCATCATTAACTTGGTACAATATTGAACTTGAAGTTGATACCTATGTGCATAATATAACAAAATAATCTATCAATAAATTTGTCACTATTTTATATGAAAGGAAGATTTAAAGTGAAAATTCAATATGAATAGAGGATACAAATCATGTTACAATAGAAATCTTGATGTGCAATAACAAAACAGCAAGTTTATAACTTTTTACTTTCATTTTCTTTGACTCCACAGAATTTTCTCTCAGTTTTTTCTCTTGCTTGGTGGCGAGTATTGTGAAGGTTGCTCGTGCATCATTTATATGTTTCACAAACCATTCTTGTAACAAATATCTTAACGATTCCAATAAAGGCTCTATTGGACAACCTTTCATTGCTGTTGTTACCGAATTTACCGATTCAACTATGTTTGAAGTCATTGTAGAAAATCTGTTGTTTGTCATGTAAGCCCTCGACCATTTCTCATAACCAATATCTTTCTGCACAAAAAAAATTCAAAATATTAACAGAAAAAAGTGACTTTCTATCATGTTTTGGACTCACTTTCAACACATACAAACTTTTTAAACAAAAATTTACATCATGTCACTATTAACAAAAAAGTGGCATTCTGTCACTCTTTGGTTGAAAAGTGACAGAATGTTACTTTTTGTTTAAAATCACTTTTAATAAAAAGTATCAACACATATAAATTTTTCAAACAAAATGTGACATATCATGTCACTATTAACAAAAAAAGTGACGTTCTGTCACTCTTTGGTCGAGAAGTGACAGAATGTCACTTTTTAAACAAAAAGTGACACCAATTATTATAGAAGTTAACAATGAGAATATACCAAATGTGATCGAATTCCTGTATTGATTTCATCAAGTTGTTTCATATGGAACTCAAAATCAGTCTTAGAATATGCTCTTACAGCCCTATTGAAATGTT